GTAAAAACTGAAGCAACACCACCAAATTTCTCAAACTCGAAGGTACCTGAATGTCGCTCACCATTGTTAGAAACTTTTTGCTCCAAATTTGAATGTAAATTTGCTAAATTTTCGAATTTCAAATTTGAGACCGAGCTACTCCCGGTAGCTTCAGGTACAGTGCCGCCCATTTCCGCACTAAAAACGGATCTTGGTTTGTTCTGATTAGCTCCAAACACAGGTCCCACATTCACTGAACTTGAGTCACTCTTATTACCACTAAAAACAAAATGAAAATTCCCAAACTTATTGCCGCCCATTTGTTTTACGTTTTCACTACGCTCCTTACTCCCCTGGTTCATGACCGATCCAGAATCATCACTGCCACCACGAAATACAAAGGATCCGTTCACATTATGAGTACTAGCAGCAGCAGGACGATCAGCCTGACCCAAGCTCTTAGGATCCAGCTTAAACGAATCAAACCCCAAACCATCCCCAGCAGACTCTGACATTTTCGACTGTTTCCTAATCTTCACCATCCTGGGCTTAGGCCTCGAACTCCTGGTGCCAATTTCTGAAACATTCGAACAATTGAATCCGCCATTAGTTGAAGAAGCAAGGTTGACACTGCCAGTTGCAGGCGGATGTCCCAGATTGGTCTGCGAAACAGGAATTGCGGGAGAGATGCCAGATGGAGTGCTCGGAGATCTGAAATCCATCGCCGCATGCGACATCGCAATGATCGATTAATTGGGAATTTGAATTGCCGACGAAATGGGGAAGTAGGGTTTTTTCCGAGAGTTTCTGTAATTTAAATCTTTGCTTTGTAAGAAAGGAATCGGGCATGAAGAAAATAAGAGATTTATACTTCCTACCGGCTACCACTGTCACTGTCCGGTAAATCTTCAAGAAACGTAGCGAACTGTAATGGCAAATTATAGGAGGGTTTACTCTAAATTTTTTGGAAATAGGAGAATAAAAAAATAAAAAGCATAAAATATGTTTATTAGCATAATTTTTTATTACTCCGTATGAAAATGGGCAGGGTCGTTTACCAAAATGGAAAAATGGAGAATTTTTTGAAAAAATGAAGAATTGGAGAAGTAGAAGAATGGAAAATGGAAAACTTGTTTACTAAAATCAATTCTCAAATATAATTTTCTATCTCCATTCTTCCATTTCTTTAAGATTTTGGAGAAAGAAAATTCTATGTTCTCCATTTGGAGAATTGGCAAAGACACGCGTGAACAGTAGGTTGTTTGAGTAGAGGTCCTGGGTTTGAATCTTACCTTGCACTTGTTCTTTGCATTTCGCTTGGCTCCACTTCTTCAATTTTTTGTCTTCTTCAATTATTATTATTATTATGTTTTTCTTCAGTTTTCTCTTATACGCCTCATCTTCAGTTTTTCTTCTTCAATTATTATTATTATTATTATTATTATTATTATTATTCTTCAATAATAATAATAATAATAATTATTATTATTATTATTATTATTATTATGTTTTTTTCCTTATTATTATTATTATTATTATTATTTATTACCTTTGTTGTAGAAATGTACAAATGTTATATGAGATAATTGTATTTAATAAAATCAGAAAATTAGAGAATTTAAAAACTGGAGGAATGGGGAATGAAAATTAGAAAATTGGAGAAATGGAAAACTGGAGGAATGGAGAAGGAAAAAGGAAAAAATGGAGAAATGGAAAACTGGAAATGGAAAAACAGAAAAATGAAGTAAACGACCCCGAAACTTTCTAAAGGTCCGTTTGTTTCAGGAAATTGTCATTTATATTTTATTTTTTATTTTCTATTTTTTGTTTAAAATTTTTATTTATTAAAATTTGATTTTTAAATTAATTTTTAGACTAGTGTTATAAAATTAACATAAATTTAATTTTGAGTGATTTTTAAACTTTATATTTAAAATATTTTTGAATAAATTTGGTTTAAATAGAATAAAAATATTTTTGAAGTCTAATACATGTAACATTTCATATTCGAACCAAATTTACATTTGTATATAACACTAATAACCTTATTAAGTTCTCCTAAAATTTAATTTAGATAATATTAATATTTTTGAGCTATATTTAAAATATTTTTTAATATATTCATTTTTTGAATTATATGTAAATATAATTTTTACTTTGAAGTCTAATATATGTGAAATTTCACTATCTTATAGAGGGGTGTAAACGAATCGAATCGAGTCAAATATCTCACTATTCGATTCGAATTCGACTATATATTTGAATATTCGTATTCGTATTCGTTTAATATTCAAATCTCAAATTTGATTCGAATTCGATTTGACTAGTTTATGGGAATATATTCGATTCAACTCGAATATTTAAATTTGAAATGCCTAACTTAATTTTTTACAAAATTCTCCAATAAATTAAGATAAAATATAATAAAAATTTATATTTAAATAACATAAAATATTCGAATACTATTCAAATCGAATACACTCTAATTCGTATTCGTATTCGAAAAATATTCGAATTGAAAAAAAATATTTGAATTCGAATTCGTATTCGAAATATTCGAATTCGAATCACGAATCTAATTTGTTTTAGGAAAATACTTAGTGTACTCTCATTTTATACTCTCAACTTGTACTCTCTCTCACATGTTCTTGATGTAGACACATTTTTGTGGACCCACATAATGAAAATTAACCAATCTTTGTTTGCCACCTCAGAAAATACAAGCAAGGGAGTAGAATTTGAAAGTTTGTATAGTATAACTCTTTGTTTTATTTGATTTGTTTACACCCCTAATCCTATATCCGGATCAAACTTATATTCATTTAAAAAGATTTGTGAATCTCCGACTTTTTCAAAAATAAAAAATAAAAAAAAATAAAATCAGAGTATCCTCAATGATATTAGATATTTGTAAGTCAACAGATTTTGACGTCCCAATCCTCAATATTTCATCTCAGACTTCACAGTATGAGTATGTACACGATAATCAATCATATCATATTCCCGTCTAAGATATTGATTGAGTTTCATGGTTCGTTTGATACAACAAATTACAAATATATTTCCAGTGCTGTAGATGTAAACAGCTTTTCCTCTTTATGTGAAGAGAGGATGAATAATCATGAAGAGCTCAAGACAACTTCACTATGTAGACTGCCATCTTCCATCCGAATCCAAGATTTTAGAGAGAAAGGTTGGTGGCTTATCTCCAGAATCCTAGCCCCTCTACCCCAATTCCCATATCCACCATAGCCGGTATGACGAGCATAGCACAGCCACAGGTTCTTGTGAGGACAGCACCAGTCCAGTCCATGGTTATGCCCAACAAACACAGCCTGTCCAAATTAAAGGACCTCACACTTCACACTTTAAACTAAACAGGGTTATGATATGGGGTCTCTTATCTACTATATTGAGAGATTGTAGAATATAATAGACAATTATGTTATTATTCAGTCCTTACCATCACAGAAGATCTTCCTTCAAGGAGCTTCATAATCCCCATTTCAGCTTCCTGGGCAGCAACTTTCTCGGTGAACATTGAACCCACGCAATTCTTGTCCAGAACAGACTTTGGAGCCGCGTGCTTATACTCCTGACTAGGTATATGCCAAAATATTAGCTCGGGAACCCTGTTACAATTCATCGATTTTCACTTCATTTGGAAGAAAGTCGCTAAAGAGTTCAATTTAGAACACTACCATCCTTGCCATTTGTGTTGGATGATAAGAAACAAGAACTACCAACATGGTTTTCCCATCATTCATAAGCAATCAGTAGCATGAGTGACAAACCACACATCATCCAAAACCTCCTGCCTAAGTGAAACTATGCAATTGATACATATATACCTTGCATCGGGGTTAACCTCTTGAGATGTGCGGTTGAACCATTGAGCCTGAGCGTACGAGACAACCTCTGGGTATGAACCACCACCAGAGTCTAGGAAGTACATATACGCTACAGGGTCATTCGACGATGCGAGTTTAAGAACATAATTGGATACACTAGGCCACAAATCCTTGGGACCAGTTGTAGAGTATGATAGCCGTGTGTTATGCTCTACTTCATTTTTCATCAGCTCCAAACGTGTTGTTCCCCTGAAGCTGCAATATTCACCTTCTGAAGTAGCTAGAAGGCAATCAAAGTTAAAAAGGTTTAATTTTCATTCCCAGAACACATCACATTGAACATATATAGATAGATCACCAACTAACCTGCAGGGTATGAGACATTATTTTGTGGACATAAGAGTGGAGGGACTCCAGAGGTTGAAAACCATTCCATTGGCCACTCGAATGGCATATCATCATGGTTACCAAACACACTAGCCCATGGAATCCCCCTAGCTCTAGTAGGAGAGATTGCTTGGTCCCAATACAAGCTAGCATTTTTAATAGGGATATTGTTGGCCGTGATCACATCTCCAAGATAAACTACAAAGTCTGCCAAGAAATTGAATGTCTTACTAGAGAAATCACAGACCCACTCAACTGACTCAAGTATAAAGCTCCTGACCTGGGAGTTCTTGATCGAGGACGGTAGACATGACTTTTACTAAATTTATATCCTGGCGTGGGCCCCAGTCTGTCCAGGCGTCCTCTCCAAAATGCAGGTCGGCGAACAGCGCGATCTTAAACGGTGACCCCGGCGGCACGTGCAGAGAATCTTCCGGTTCGGTCCGCAGAGGGATTTGGAGACGGGATTGATGGAGGTTAGATTGGAAGTCTTGTGAATGGACGATGAGGATGAATCGGGAGAGCAGGGAGAGGAGGATGGGCAGTGCAGTTAAACGTCGTCGCATGTTGGCTGTGTGGGAGATACTTGTTGGCGAAGATGGTGAGTTATGGGCATTTCCGGCATACCTGTATTTTGTCTTCATTGCACATTTACAACTACACAAGCTTGAGGAATATGCCAAGTGAAATATTCTTTATCTTAACACGTACCATAAAAGATTAATGATTATACTTAACTAAGTAGTAATTTCATTAATATACTTGTGCATTCAACAACCACATTGTAAAGAACATGGCAATTGGCTAAGTCTTGAAAACCACTCAACAAAATCGTTGTGCAAATACAGTGGCTCCATTCTACCATAAACCAACAACCCTTGACTCTTATGTCCGCAATCTTTACTTTAAACCTAATCCACCAAATTCTTTTGCTCAGCTAAAGTACTCTATTAAGAATTTTCACCTAATAATTACGTGTTAGCACATGAATCAGAGGCTCTCTGCAAACTGAGAGGCTCCAAGATCAAGTTGTTGTTTCATGATGCAGTTCATGAACCACTCACTACTGAATGTCCTTATCCCTTTCTCTGCAGCTGACAGTGCTTCATCCGTGTCCTCCTCGCATGCCACAAACACGGTTTTCTTCGCATCATTCACCTCCTCCAATCCACCAAGAACCTAAAGATTAACATTTGTCAAAGCATTGCTTAAACAAACTCAAGATGACATAGCAATTAGGAACATTGCAGATGTTATTCCTCAACTAAATACCATAATGTGTATGTGCATTTCTTTTAAGCAAAATTTCTTGAAATTTGACTTACATTCCCTCCGGCAGATTTCACAATTGCAGATAACATACTGGCAGGAGGTTGAACATGAGCTGCAAGGCATATGTCATAACCATTAAGTAAACTTTGAGGGCGTGCTTTAGCCCTAAGAACTGCAGATTTTAGCTCAGTTGTGTACTTGAGTTCATAGTCTTCATCCTTCAAAATGAAAGGCATTTCATCTGGACAACATGGAAGCCAATCATATATCAAAATATGTTAATGGTTTCCATAATATATCAAACTTAGATCTTGTAACATACCCACGAATCTGCCTTTCCGAAAGCTTTCTTTCAACCAACTGGGTGATATTATCCAAGACCTGGGTAGCATTGTGTATACATTTTAAAATCAATGTCAAAGGTGAATAATAACAAGCAGATACTAGTAAAAACTTAAATTTATGTTAAAATCTCAGAATGAAATGGAGTATTATTCTTAAATACAGAGTAAATAACTAGAATGTAAAAATTAAAAATTCTGAAAACTGATGATGAGCAATGGATCTCATGCCTCTGTCCCTTTTCAGGGATTTACTTCAGGAACCACAGCGCTTATCTTGAAGGATAAAGAATGATATATACTAGTTATACGAGTAGTATCAATTTTTAGTTGTTAAAGTGTATTCTGGCCAAGATATAATGAAGTAGTTCACTAGTTCGTAGGAAATACTGACCCTGAGCATAAAGCTTTGCAAAAATTCAGCGTTTTCCTTACTTTCCCTGTTACCACATGCGTACATTCACTTCCATCAGAAGTAACAAGTCCACCAAGGTCTTCAATTATCTGCACAAGCACCATCAAGTGTCAGGAAGTGGTAGAAGACTGTCATATGGCCTCTTTCATCATTCAGTCAATTAATTGTTTTGCTGACTAATTTTCGTAAAGACATTCAGCCAAAAGTCAGAAACAGTGATTAAAAAGAGTAAAAAGTAAGTTGCTAGTATTGGATATCATCAATACATAGGATGACTAGTGAATACCTTAGTTAGATGTGCTTTCTTATTATCATCAGCTATATTCATCAGCATAATTCTGAAGTGTTTTCCCAAGGGAGGAATGCCCAGGTTGCTATTACTTTTGGATGTCACATCAAGTGCTCTGTATTCTTCATAATACTTGGAGCTGCATGTTAAAGGATCTTTATGATGATCATGCCCTAGAAATGCACTTTCAGAAGCTGCCAAGGAACCACCGTTTTTATGCATAGTCGTCTTTCCATTGTTTTCTAAAAGGAAGTTGTTAGAATGTAAGTGGCAATCAGCTACATAGCCTCCCTTCACTTTTTTTGAGTTCAAAGAGGTAAGTGAGGCTTCCCACATCCTTTTTTTTGTTCCTGGTGCCGAACATGAACATAGTTCCGGATAAGGTTCAAGTTCACATTCATTTACTCCTGCACAGTTGGCATCATATCCACAATTTATAGTTTCCGCTGTGTCTGCAACTTGACAATTTAGATTCAAACAAACAGATTAGTAGATATTTATCATACACATAGTTCTGAAAGAATCCTCTCAGTCATTTATAAGAAAAAGGCACTTAATGAGTCATAGAAGAATGAATACACTGTTAATAACCTCACCCTGCACTTGCTCACACTTGATCATTATGCATTCTCAATTTTCAAACCCAATGAAATGAAAGAAATGAAAAATTTATGCAGCAGCTTCACATACCATAATGTTGAGTATCATCTGTGCTGATATGTTGATTTACTCCATTGGAAAAGTGATTCCCTTCTGGTACACTTTTATCTCGTTTCTGAGAGATAGGGTATGAACAATGTTTATCTGGAGAATTTGGTGCTACTGTCATCATTAGATTCTCTGGGGAATTTGTTAAACTTTCCTTGTTAAGATGAGAAACCAAGAGAGTTGAGCCACCAGGAAAACACAACGCTCTACGGATATCAGTCCTTATAGGAAGCCTACGAGCTTTGCCTTTTGCATCTACCTGACCAATTACTACAAATCCCTGCAGATTTAGCTTATGTATTTAGTGACTCGAGCAAAATAAAAATAAACTGGAACATGTTTACATCAAGCCCATGGCAAGTATTCACCAGGTACATAAATGAAGCCATTTTGTAAGCCCATTTTTGTGTTTTGCATCCATGTGTTTAGCAAAGACACCAGTCAGATTAAATTCAATATAATACACAACTACGAAACTTATACACTATTCTTCTCAGGCTACTCAGAAAAAATTGTTAAACTATTAGAAAGCATATCATAAAATCAGATTTTTCCTGCTAAAGCTTGTGACCACTTTACTCATTGGATACACCACCCAAATGAATATATGTAGAAAAACAAAAACATTAACAGCAAATGAATAAATCACTTCAATCTCATATTAGCCACCATTTAAGGTATACCTGCTTAAGCCAAAATCCTTCGGACTCCTTATCTCCCCAACAAAACACTGTCCTAATACCCACATTCTGCAATCTCCTTCTCAGTTCCATGTATAATATACGACCTATACCCTGTAAGAACCTGGGCCTAGTCAATTACTATCAGAAGCAGGAAACAAATCTGAAGCTATTTGCAAGCATACAATCGAGATGATATAACAGTTACTGAAATAAAATAATAATAATCTTTATATTTCCATAAATAAATAAATGCTACAGTATGTAAAGGAGTAAAATAAAGTTTACAAGGGATGCATCTCTGAATTGACATCATACACAGGGAACCAGTTTACTTCCACTTGTAACTTAATTGAATAGCAAGCTGGAGCCAAGGACTGAAAATTCTAGCATCAGCGGGTTTGAATCCACTTCTAATAGCTTTTTGCATTAGATATCTAAAAAGGCCTGTGTTGGGTTTCTAAGCAGTAATTGAATGAGGTCTGAACTCTTTCAATAGTGATTGGTGTACATTGTTTCTTGCCATGAACATCATGCAGAAAAATGAAATAAGCAGTTTCATATAAAAGGGAAGCTACACTTTCATCTGATACTGTCAACTGCAGCCATATCCTTTAGATGAAACCCTAAAAAGAACCCTAAAGAGTAGCCTCATTTGCTAAGGTCATATACCAGTCTATTTATAAAAGTAAACCTGAAATCATAAAAAAATAATTTGGCAAAACAAACACTAGACCTTGTGTTGATATTGTGATCTAACAGCTGCAAGAGGAATCTCAGCATACTGTGTGTCAGCAGAGATTAACTGATAAGTAGTTGCTGCAACAACCTGTTCAATAATGAGCAAGATCAAAGAGATATTATGGAACCCCTGATTAGTCACCAAAAAATTATAAAGAGTAAAGAGCACTTCAATTTGTTAAAGGAGTATGCATGCTAAATATAACCCAATAAAATTGAATCTATCCTACAAATGTAAGCATATACACAAACATATGCACACAAACTCTTTTTGCTTATGATATTCCAAGGGCTGTGCTCTACAAGGATATGAATTTGATCTTAGGAGGCATCAGCTAACACCACACCTTCTACATTGATACATATAAAAGCAACTAGTCAACTACTGCAAGCATACCTCTCCATGGTGTTCACCCTGTTTAATCCTCAAAATCAAAGTGCAGTATTTCCTGCAATAGCAGTCATTAGCCAATTCCTCAAACTTTAGAATCTTGATTGAGGTGATAGCATTCAGGCCATAAATCAAATGTTCATTACATATATAATTCTAGACACATTTAACAGAATGTCATAAGAGATATTGATGAGACTGAAGTCCTAAAATAAAATTGAAGGGACTGTATAAGTTTCAATAACATACCCACTTGATACACATTTATCAAGGAACAATGATTGCTTTCCAGTGTTTGCAGCATATTTCATTGCTGGCAGTTCCTTAACATAAATGTTTAGCACATCCTACAACAAGAAATACAACTAAGCACCACATATGTAAAGTGATAGAGAGAGGCAGAGAGTTATAGAGATGGAAAAGAAATGTAGATTACCTGAACCAAACACTTGGTTTTACCATCTGCATCCTTGGGATTAATGAGCTCAAAACAGTAATTACCTAATCCTAAGAGGAAATAAATCATTATTAAATTCTGACATCTAATCGGATAATCACAAGAAAGCAAATACAATAGAAAAATTATTGGAGAAAATTCAAAACGAAACATTACCATTTTCCTCATTCTCAGAACCCTGAGGACCAAAATTCACAATTTCGCAATTCCTGTTCTCCATGACTGTCTCAAGTAGTAACAAAAACAATAAGAACTCTAGAACAAATTCCGATAGTTCTGACAGATATAAAGTAAATAGTAGAAATCTGAATTCAGAAATATCAAAATTTTGAAATTGAATTACTAAAGGGCCTTATTGCCTGAAATTTTGATATTGGCATCTTTCGAGAAAGTGATTCGGAGGCTGTTTTCAGTCGACTCGGATGCAAAGTTTTTGGCTTCGACCCGCACATGGCAATTTCCTGCAAATAAATATATTTTCTAACAGAATTCTTAAATTGATTATGACTTTTGAAGGAATAGGCGGGGTGAGAGTATTACCTATTGGAATCGGGGGTGGCGAAGGTATAGAAGATGCCTTCTTGGGTGCCATAGCTTGGGTTTCTGCTCGTAACTTTTGCGGAAGTGAAAAACAGTGGGAATTTTGCAGAGCTGAATATTTACAGGTTCACTATGGCGGGAATAGGGTAATGGTTTTTTGAATTTTTACCGAAAACGTGATTCCTTCGTGCCTTTTGTAGTGTTTAATGTGGTATTCTGGTATATATAATAGAGCAATTTTTTATTTTTTTTTTTGAAATAAACACTATAATATAGCAATAATATAAATCTATAAATTTCTCTTTTTGTTCCATCTTATATGACATGGAAATTGCAAATACGTTTGATTCATGAAATGTTAGATTATCATAGTAAATGTTAGATTGTTAAGAATATTATATTACTATTAAATATTTGATTAATGTGTTTAATTTAAAAGTGAGGTATATAACATAATCATGTTTGGTCGATTTTTTTTTTATATTATAATGATTATTTTACTTTGTCAATAATATAGTGATTTAGTGGCATAAAGTGAGTCTTCCTAATGAAAAGGGTCATGGAGTTGAGTCTTAGTAAGGGAGGTATTAAATTTTTGTGTTTCAGTACGTTAAGAAATTAGCTATGAATAAGTGACACAGGGTCTGTAGTATTAAACCAAAAAAAAAAAAAAAAATTTACTTTAATATCATTAACCTATTTTTATGTCTTTCAAAAAAAAAAAACTATTTTTATGTATTTAAATAAATTTTCAAATTAAAATAAATAAATAAAAGAATTGCAAAATATATAAGTAACTGATTTTAAATTAATCAACAAAGAGTTTGAGCTTAAGAAATATTGTATGTGACTCTTGAGATGGGAATAAAAACAAATGATTTAAATTGCAAAATTAGTAATAAGACAAAGGGAATGTGAGAATATATGATAAAGGAAAGTGCATCTCACGTTCCGTTCAAATAGCTATTAGAGATAATAAAAGAATAAGCTATCAACAACTTGATGGTTATAAAAGAATAAGCATATTGTGCTCAGATGGCACCCAGGTTAGATTCTCATATGAGAGATTGTGAGTTCAAACCTAAACGTTATTTGCTCTTTATGCAGTTATATTCTAATAGAGTTAGTAGCATGTAATTTAGTACACAGATGTAAACATCATCATGTTGTCCTATATATAAATATAATATAATTTTTAGAAAATTAATTCCAATCAAATTGTACGGACTCAAAATATATTTATATAAAATAAATAAAAATGAAAAAAGATGATTTTATAAATTAGAATATAAACCCAGCGATGAAGAATGGAGAAAATCGAGTTGTGTGCACTGTAACACACATTTTCTTAAAAACCTCCCGATGGTATTTGGATCGTTGTAGCATTAGTCTTTCAAGATAAAAAATAATCCAAAAGTTTTTTTTTTTTTTTTCTAGATGTGTAACCCCGAGAGATAGCATTTATTCTTAACATTAGTCTAAAAGAGTTTGTATATATATTGGTGCAAAACTGCAAATCCACTTCCAAACGTGGGACAAGTAGTCATGATCACGGTTTGATTCGAACCGAATCGTGCACGATAGACAGACCTACATGATAAAAGATTTTATCTTTATTTGTCATGTTAGGGAGTAAAAGTGACGGAATAAAATTTGAGAATACATATAGGCCCTTTTTGGTAAAATAGTTAACCTATAGGTCAATTTTGACTTATTTTATCATTATTAGCTTTTTTATTTGGTTAAAACAAATCAATATAAATATTTAGTTAATTAGTTTTTTTGTAACTCTAAAATGCTAAAAAGAAAAAAGTTGCTGAAAACAATTTTTTCAATTAATTTTTTTTTTTAAAGAAAATTATACCAAAAAGCTATCAGCTAACACATAATATACCAAACACTTTATGCAGTTAGATTATCAACTACCAATCGTTATGCTGTGGACTCGTGCCCAGCGTGCATCATGGGCACGGTAACGGTGCCGTCAGTGGCACCGTTATCTTCCTTTTTCTTTCTTTTTTTTTTTATTATAAATTTCAGACCGCTTCGTTATAGGAGCATATATTCACAGCTCTGTGTTCATAATTTCATAACTGTACATTCATAATTCTATAACTGTACATTCATAATTCAATAACTGTAAATTCATAATTTTCGAAGCTCTATGTTCATAATTGTAAGTTCATAATGTCAGAGTTCTGTGTTCATAATTTCATAACTGTACATTCATAATTTCATAACTGTACCTTCATAATTTCATAACTGTACATTCATAATTCCATACTGTATATTCATAATTTCATACTGTACATTCATAATTTTCGAAGCTCTATGTTCATAATTATAAGTACATTCATAATTCTATAATTGTACATTCATAATTTCATAACGAATACGTTGTTAACACCGTTAATGACCTTTCAAACAATTTTATTTTATTTGTAGTTAGGACAGAAAAAATGACGCTATTTTAGAGACACGCACACCTTGGAAGGTGCGCACGTGCGCATAGCATAATTTGCCATCAACTACCCTTTATATTTTTAATAGAGCTAAAAGTAATTTACCAAAGAGGCCTTATTCTCGAAAAATGTCTTCCTTTTTCAGTTTTGGTGGGCCCATTTTCCGGGAACAAAAACATATTCTGCATTGGTTAAGCTTCACTCTGCGCAGACATCATCCTCCATTCATCTTCTTCTCCCGTTGCCTCCCTCGCATGTCTGAACGCTCTCTCCTCTATCGATCACTTCTCCAGTCACAAGAACAAACGGTTTCGACCTCCGTTCATACTCGTCTAGCCATTAATCTAACATCTTTTACGACGCTCATATGAGAATCGGTAGCCAAGGTTGAAGGAACCAGACAGCACTACTTGATCTTGCTTTCCTGGTATGCTTTTGTCTTTAATGGGGATACAGTGACTTGCTTCTCCTATCATTTTCATTTTTATGTTTGGTGGTGGCTGGACAGTAGTGCTTTTACTTTGAAATGTTTGTAGAAATCAACCCTCGTGCTAAAACAATTATTATAGGGATTATTGTAATTACCTCTAATCCTTCAAATTGTTTAGTAATTTTTGTTGATCTCATAATAGATGCAAGTAACTCTACCATTGATGTTTCTAGAATTGTATTTTCCTATGTATTGCAGGATAGTTTTGGGAGATTGCATGAAAGAAGCAAAGAGACACCCAAGACTGTGAAACTGCTCACTCCCCTTGTCGCCTATTCCCAAACAAAGTGACCATTCAGCTTCCTCAGGTAAGTTTATGTTTCATGTCTGCCCTATTGAGGTTTATCAGGTCACTTAGGCTAGATTAATTAGGCTATAAATACTGAACCACTGTATAAGATAGGAGCATACAGAATCGTATAATCTGAATTACCAGCAATACCATTACTTGATTACTTGTCTTGTTTACTTTTGCTTTACATTCTTAAACATACTCAGGTAACATTGTTACGCGGTCATAGTGTTCTTCTAATCATCTGATGAATTTTTTGGATCATAAGGTCAACGCTTCTAGCTTTGGTGTGAATTGATGAAACACAATGTGTATAGCTGCATTCCAATGGAAAGCTCATCCGATCTACCCCTTTCTTCTGTTCCTCAACCGGGACGAATACTATGATCGGTACCTTGGCGTAAATCTTACAAGTTCAATTTCTTATGTTTTAGCTGAATTATTATTATGCTTCTTCTTAATTAATGGATTGTTTGAGATTGAAAGGCCGACGAAGGCTTTGGCGTGGTGGGAGGATGGTGTGATTCTTGGAGGAAGAGACGTTCTCGCCGGTGGGACTTGGCTAGGCTGTAACCTCAAGGGAAAAATCGCTTTCCTTACCAATGTCCGGGAGGTCGTCGATTTGCCGTCTTCTCATACCAAGAGCAGAGGAGACCTTCCTGTTCGCTTCTTACGGGTACCAACTACCTGTTTGTTTAAATGTCTACATGAATTTTCTACATTATCAAAATGCCCACCCCCAGGCCCGGCTCTTTCTTTCACGGACTTGTGATACAATAGTGCCTCCAACTCCTCCAAGATAGCAAAATATTATACATTTACTTAATTTGGTTGTTATTTAATTCGTATCTCAGAAGTTTGTTTCCTCCAAAATTTGGTTGCTTAATTACATTATCATTGAAGTAATTGTCATAAATGCTAGCTCGTGGTTGCAGAGCAATAAGAGCCCTCGTGATTTCGCGGAGGAACTTATGGCAGAAGCTGACCATTTTGGTGGGTTTAACCTGATAGTAGTTGATATCTGTTCCATGACCATGTTTTATATAACCAACAGACCAAAAGACAGAGGTGTATCAGTGACAGAGGTATCGCCTGGTATTCATGTCTTGACAAATGCATCACTAGACTCTCCGTGGCCTAAGGTAACTAAAAAAACTTACTTTTAGCTAGCTAGCGTTCTCCTTACCAAATTATTAATTTAGCATGCATGAAGAAATTAAAGCCTATCTAGCATTTTTCCTTCAGCCGTTTAGCGTGCATGTGTTGGCAAGATAACACGGCTTATGTTTATGTTGTTTTTTGGAGGCTCAACGGTTACAAAAAGGTTTCAAGTTGGTGTTGGAAGAATATGGTGAATCTGAAATTCCATTGGAGTCAGTGGGGAAACAATTGATGAAAGACACAACAAAAGATGAGGAAAGGAACCTTCTTCCTGGCATCTATGCACCTGAAAGGGAGTACCAATATAGTTCCATATTTGTTGAAGCAGAAGAAGATTTGGTACTCTCTCTTCTCTCCCTAATATAATGCGCAGAAGCACACGCACAAATGCACAATTAATTATCTATAACTCTCTAATGATCTCGGTGCTATCCTCTATATAAGGGGTTATGGCTAGTTGAGTTAATGCTGTGAATACTTTACTTCCATATATAGGTGGGGCGTTATGGCACTAGAAGTACTTCTGCATTGGCTATCAAGAATTCCCTAGAGGTCAACTTCTATGAGATGTGTCTTGAGAATGATTTGTGGAAGGAACAAACCATTTCCTTCAAGATTGAGAAATCTCCAACCCCGGCCCATAAATTCTATGATTCTGTTTAAACTTACTTGGATTTGTGTTGTATTGCTATTATGATCATTTTCTTCTCTTGATAATTTCAGGTGTTTGATGGCAATCCTTAAAAAAAGGTTTCTATCAATTTTTTGTGCATGTGTCTATATACTAAGCTTTGCCTATCCCACGGAATCACCCCCTTTCTCCAAAACAAATGAAAAGACAAATAAATAGTTATCCAAATCTCAATTCATAAATATAAAAAATGGAAGAAGTTCACAATTTACAATGGACAACACATTCGTTTTCTACCTTGCATAACCCTAAGACAATTCAATTTTTCATGAAATGAAGCTTTAAAATAGTAAAAAGGAAAGTAATGATTAATCACATCTTGTGTTTTTAATGCCAAAACCTCATTCTCTAAGAACATTCTGAATTTTGTGACTTGCTCTTTAGGTATTAATGTATGAAAATATGTTCTTTAATGTAAGAACTTGTATGTTTGTAGTGGGACTTGGAGAACATGAGTCTCTCAAAATGTTTTGAAAATGTGGATAGATAGATGAAGGTTATTTTTTTTTTTATCTGTATATTAATTATAAACAATAAAACAATCATCGGAAAACAAAAATAGTTATTACTATCGAGATGTTTGCAATATATAATTAATAAATATTAAATAATAAAATATTTAAATAGTTACTCCCTCGTCCTATTTTATTGTATACTTATTATTGATGGATTAAACAAACTCTTTTTATTTGTTTATTTTTTTTAGTATTTTTTATTTATTTTTAGATTTGATTTTTTTTTTTTTTGTGTTTAATAGTACTTTTAGTATAGTTTCTAAACATATAAACTTTGTTACTAATACTATTTTTTTTTTTAGTACTATTGACTATTACAAGGTAGTATCTGTTCTATACTTTCTCTATCTGTTGTAGTTCAAAGAGTCAATATTCCACCATCGAAGTTCGATCGTGTAACCTTCCCTCAAGGAGAGTCACAGAGGTGTCATTTGAGCACAAAATGATTGACTAATACTAAATTTAATATTATAAAAAATTAAATTAAAAATAACTTTAGTTAAGTTTCTTGACACATAGAAGGAGACAAATAGAGTTTTTTTTTTTTTTTTTTTTTTTTTTTTTTTTGTCAAGCAAAGGCTGCAAAGCACATTAGAAAATGCAAAATAAAATAACTTTAGTCAAGTTTCTCGTTAGCTTAGCTGTAATATAATTATAAAATATTTTAATTTTTTTTAATAAATTAAACTAAATAGTTAATTGATTGGCAAGCAAATCATAAATAATATGTCATTATATGCAAAATTACATCGTTTTTTGTAAACGAAAAAATTAGATTATTTTTTCTTTATCAAAATGCTTCTGCTGGAGTGCTGGATAGATAGATAGATAGATTTGCAGTCTCTTCCGTATACAAAGGTACACGAATTTGCAAGTTTGCACTCTCTCAATAGATCTTTACACTTTAGTACGGAAATTTTGGGGAAGAATCATAATTTCCTAAACTGATGGGAAAGAAACTTAAGAAAGGTATTGCCATGACATTTGATGTAAAGAGACATATGTACACTTCCGTTACCCACCATCATCCCATGTGAATAGCACGGATATTACGGGATTGGGCCGCCTGACTGGACCCTACACTAATCATTTTGACCAAAGCAGTTAATTTGCACCGCAGGATGAAAGCCAACCAAGGCTGTTAACCATCGGATCTCCATACCTGTCCCGCAATCATTAAAAGGCTCAAGCTAATTATATGCGCGGTGGGTCCAGCCATCGCACTCCCGTTGCGAAAGATAATTGTACACGCGTATTAGTTACCGGCTGCTGACCTGTTATACCCCGCTTCTCCTTATCGAATAATACAACACATATCATCTTGGACAAAAATAAATTCCAATTATGCATTGTATTCTGGCCCCCAAAAAAAATTCTTTATTTTATCTTTAATGCTTATCTTCATTCTACATTAAAAAAAATAAAAAATTACAATATCACATAAAAATATAAATACTACAGGGTAATCCGTATGGACAACTCAACTGATTATAGAGGTGAAAAGTTAAAAGAATGACCAGGGATCGAATCCTAAATGCTCTGTCGGGTTGAGGTTCAACCATTTGAAAGAATAAATACTACAGGGTAAAATTAAGAGAAATATTATTATTATTATAATATTAAAATGATATAATGTATTAAAAGACATTGGCTCAAGTATGAATGATTTAAATTATTTGTTAATTTTTATTTATATTATTTAGTGAGTAGAATGAATTTTTGTCGTGGTAAAACATGGATGATATTTTAATTGGACAAATACGGAAATTCCGAAAACGTGTCTTCTCGAAGGTCAATCAGTGGGCAGGCCTAGTCTTCACCGGGCTTGCGGCTCGGTTCCGAACCATCGAGCCTCGTCCCTCCGGCCTATAAATATCCGTCTTCCACAAAATATCAATCATCATACGCGTCCGATAAGGAAGACATTTTGACATTTGAAGGTAAAGTTAGAGCGCATCTAAATTTCTCATCGGTTTTCAGTTCTCGAATTCTTGAATTTCGATTCGGTTTCTTGTTGGCGATGCATGGATCTACTGTATGTGCTAAATGTTTTTTCTCGGGAGTGATTGATTGCGTTGTGATTTTGCGTTTTCGGGGGATTATTTTTCATCGTTGTTGCTCATGAATAATTTCTATGGTGGATCAAAGTGGTTGAACTCTGACTTGATTATCTGATGGGTTAAATTCTGTTAGGTTGAAAATTTATTCATCGTCCTAAGTAATTAACCAAATCCTGACCTTACTAGGATGATCACCTGTTCTTAGGTAATTCTCGACCGGAGAAATGATTTTTTTTTAATAGCATAAATCACTGGTGAATCATTAGCAGGTGTAAGTGACCAGAGATGAAACTGCCTTTGATTTGTTGTTGAATTGTTCTTTATTCATTTTTCAGCTAGTTGTTTGATATGGAACTTCAATACTGACAGCACTAATTTATCATTTGATGAGCCATGTGATTCTTAATTTGCAGAAAACTACAATCATTTCTTGACTGATGTGTTACATGTTTCTCTTGCGATGACAGATAGTTATTTGAATAGGAAGCATGGCCTTAGTTTCTGGAAGGAGGTCAACTCTGAATCCAAACGCTGCACCTTTTGTTCCTGCGTCTGTACGCCAAGTGGAGGACTTCTCACCGGAATGGTGGGACTTGGCAACCAACTCAACATGGTTCCATGATTACTGGGTAGGCCAGAAGGAGGGATCAGAATATGGCTGCAATGAGGCTGGATTTGGTGATGATGATATTGCTGATTTGCTGCCAGATAACATTGATCTTGATGTTGATGATGACATTTTGAACATGGAAGATCAATACGAAGAATTTCTCCAATCAATTGAAACAGGGCAAGGAAACAATGGTTTTGTCAACAGCATCAAGGGGGTGTCAGAATCAGGTTATCTCTCTACCTCTCTTGGTAGTATTACAATGATCTAATTGAGAGACTTGTGTTTGTGCGATTTACTTTTGTTACTAATTGGTGATTTCAGATTTAACCATGTACCTAATTTAGTAAGTTGTTACAATCTTGAAGCTTTTATTATTTCTTTCCCAAATAATGAGTGACTGGCTTTAGCTCAGGAGTCTCTTTTAGATAATAATTCCGCATTTGTGTATTTAGTGTTGGTGATTGAAAAACACAAAAATGTCCACTCTCTGCCCGGTGCACATTTCTGATTGCAAGCTGTTTGCTTCAGTAATCATGGCTGATAGATGGAATTGTTTTTTCCCCTTGATATAACAGGTTCAGCAAAGCATCCTGATGCACTGGTTAAAAGTCTGAACTTGACAAAGGAGAGAGGTTCAAAATCCCTTGTGTCACCCAGGTACTTTGAGAAGCCAGCAAAGGTTGTTAGCCCGAAATGCAGCCTTCGCCGCATCCAACAACCTCGCTGAATGTTTTCCTAGCAGGAGTCGCTTTATGTCTGCAGTCGTAATTTGGAATTACTCTTGGTGAAGCAGTGTGAGTCTTTGTAATTAGTTTCTTGTAGCTTCTGTGTAGAGCAAGGTAGGTTGCCGCTGTTGTATCTAGCCTTGTTCATATCCGAACATTGTGCTTTGTTCAGTTCGATGAAAACAAATGAAACTGGAAAAGATGCAGAAATCTGCCCAGGAAAAAAAATGTAAAGAGTGTAGTTGTCTTTTTGTTGATATTGAAGGCAAAATGTTGATCAATCTGCACTTACCCATTGTAGTGTTAAAATTATTGAGTCTTACCAAAACCAGTAGGCCTCGCAAATTTCATGGAATTGTTAAAGAAAAGGACACTAAAACCAGATTACATAGCACAATAACAGTATAAGCATACAGACCTGAATCCTGGTATGCAAACCCCAAATGTTTTTGAATATTTTTAATGAGTTACTTTCGATTCTTTTTTTGAAAACTTCCACGATTCTTGTGATAATGTGTAATTGTCTATCCAATATGTTCCCACACACCTGCTCGACAGTTGTGGAGGGATAAATTATAGTGGTTCAATTAACTAATAAAGACTAGATTTTTGCTGTTCCTCCTATTTTAAGAGATTGCTCCTATATTACATCTTTGATCTCTCGTTATAAATTTCACCTCTATTATCGCTGTTGAGACTTGATATTTTATCTCTTGTGACAAATTTCACTTCTCAACCAGCTGCCCATACGGACAAACTCTCTCAATTCTTGTGTTTGTGAAGAGCGGGCATGGAGAGATTAGGAAGAGACAGACTCGAAAATAGCAGCCTTGGCTCTGGAGTTTGGGCTGATCTGCATTTTGGTTTGGGCTGTTACAAAACAAAAACAAAATCTGTTCGGGAGAAGTACTGCAGACCTGCCATTAAAATTTCTGTGCATATTTGTTTTCTTGATGGTGCATAGTGTTGTGGGCTATTTTTCATGAGCTTCGATTAGGTTGAGAGATGGGTGTTATCAAAGGGTGGATTTAGAGAATGATTTCCCTCATGCTATTTGGAGGATTCATAACACGAGAAGACCAGCTATATAACACGAGGGGACTCTAGGAATTACAATTTTATACTTAGAAGGAATTGCAATTCACTTCAACCAAATAATTAAATAAAAACTCTATAAAATTTAGTAGGAATATAATTACAATTTTATCATACCAAACACACTCAATCAATTCATGACTCTGTCTAACCCAAACTACCAGTTAGGAAAAAACAAATATTATAACATTTACACAGTTTTATGTACCACAAAAACAGAAAATGAAAAACATTAAAATGACACTTTAAAAAACCAAAAAAATTGAATTGAAACGTGTACATATATAAATATATGACACAAATTTGGGCTCTAATATTAGCAAGAACATTAATGTCTTCTGGGAGACAAATTAATATGAATAAAAATTTAAGTTTTTAAACATGTTTGGGTTATTATTATTAGGGAAAATGACACTTTTTCCCCCTGAGTTATATACCTATAGCATTTTTTCCCCCTAAATTATTGAAGTGGCTGTTTTCCCCCCTGAAATGTTAAATGGACATATTTACCCTTAAACTAAATATTTAATTTATTTTTTTTCTCCAACAAATTATGACCATAATTTGGTTCAAACCAAACAAACACTATAGCAACCAAACCGAAATATTCCAATTACAATTTAGAATCGAAATCCGATATTTAGAGTTTATTAAAATCGTGAACCAAAATGGACGGTTCATGTTCCGAACTGAAAAAATAAAATACATATATTGTTGAATTTATACTATTTTAAAATAAAAATAAAATTTTAAAATAAATACGGTTAAAAATCGCGAATCGGATCCAGAACCGCCAATTCACGGTTCAAGATTCAATTTTTTTGATACATAATTTTAATAAATTGACATTTAAATATTTGATTCTAGATCTGAATTATAACCGAAAACTATTAATTCGATTGCTATAGTATCCGGTTCAATTGGTTCAATTCAAACCGTGGTTATCCCTACGTATACGCAATAATTTGTTGGAGAAGTAAAATAAATAAAATATTTACTTTAAGGGTATAAATGTCAATTGAATATATCAGAGGGGGAAAAAGCACCACTTTTAGAATAACTGAGGGGGCTAATGCATTTACCTAAATAATTGAGGGGGAAAAAGTGCTATAAGTATATAATTCAGGGGTAAAAAGTGTCATTTTCCCTTATTATTATTATTTTTTTTGAAAGGATGTTTGGAGTTAATTTGTTCCTTTGAAACATGCTGTCATTTGCAGGATTCACAACTTGAGTAGAGAAATTTTTCATTTATCATAGGTTATATTAGAAAAATACGAATATGTATGACTTAACTTAAAATCAAGAAATATATATAAATCTTAAAGTGAAAATCACATAATGTGAGGATTGCAGAGTAGTGAAAATGAAACATAAATCGTTTTTCTTAACGAAAATTTTTACGTTTTATGGAAAAAATTATTAAGATAGGCAACAAGGCGTCACTTTTTAGGGGAACTAATATTTAATTTAAGACGTAATTAATTGTCTTAATTGAGCCATTATGTTTCCCAATGTTCTGTAATCTGTACCATTCAGCCATTCCCCAACTCATCATTATTTTCTTCTCCTATTACTTCGTCTTCTTTGGCAATTGGCAGAGGAGTTCAATTCATCTTTGTCTTCTTCTTCATCAAGGAGGAGTTCCAGCTGGTCCACGTAGATTCTAGATTCTGGCACAGCTTCAGCCAAAAATCAACAAGGAATAAGGACTATCCGATGAGGTTGTTTCAAATTATTTTTTTTCCACTTTAAATCTTTAATTTTACCTGTGTAAAGTGTTTGTTCCTCGTTGGAGTATTGTTGTTTGGTTTCAATTGCTGAATTGCATTTGTAGAGCGGAGCCACAAAAATCTAAAATCGGCCTGGCTTGGCCCATAGATAAATGGAAAACTTGAAAATATATATTGCCCTTATTCTGGTAAACAAAAGTCTTTTTTATTTATAACAATACTACTATTATTCATCATCAACAGCCGATATGATGATCTAACTTTGTATTTGCAGAGACCTTTACAAAACCAGTAGGCCTCACAAACTCGATAATCAAAGTATGTATACAGAAGAAAAATGGACACATGCAATATATATTAATGACCTGATGGCCGGATCGGATCTGATGATCTCCAAATATTTTGGAGAATCCGATCCTTAAATGATATGATTACGCCTGATCCTTGTGTTTCTTCTGCAACGGAGGCAAGGCGAGAGACGATGAAGAAACAGCCTTGGTGTTGATGGCGACGGCGATGGCTTTGGTGGGCTGCGCCTTTGGCTTTATCGACGACTCCTCAATTTCATCACTGATCTTCTTCGCCTTCACCAGAGGAATCTGCTGCGGGGCGTTGTCTTTGGTAATCGTCTGCTGTCGAGGGAAGAAGAAATCCGTTGGGAAGAAGTTGTATTGCAGACCTGCCATTAAAATTTCAGTTGCGATGAATTTATTTCTTCTCAACTTTTCATGCTTTGGGCGGCTGCTCTCCTCTTGTTTATAGTATGTATCAGGTTACACCAAAGGTTACCTAACTGCGATCAAAGTATCTATGAGGTCCCTGTACTATAATGTTTTGTTCAATTTAGTCCTTCTACCTTAATTTTGTTCAATTTAATCTCTATATTTTTAAAAGTGAAATAATTAAGGACAATAGCTGATGTGACGCGAACAATTAATTTAAATATTTATAAAATAATATATGAATTGGCATGTAAGTATGATGACGTGAGTACGTGACAGATATAATGCCCATGAACTAAATTGAACAAAATTAAATTATAAGGACTAAATTGGACAAAAGAGACCTCATAGGTACTTTGACTCCTAACTGCGCTCCAGCTCAAATAAAAATAATAAATAAATAATTACGTAATTACAAATTTTACGAAATATTTGTCTTACATTATATTATAATATGATATCACGCACGTTGTAATTATTTTTCTGAAAAAGTAATTTATTTTGCTAAATTGTATTCCTTATTTGCATTGGAGGCACATAGACATTTTGATCATCGGGTTCATCGGTATATTTGAGAGAATTAATTTTTTATTTCTGTTAATTTATTATATGTTAAAAAAAATAAATTATTTTGGATGCTCTTCGTGATATCCCTAGAATATTCCATGCACTAAGATACCTACCCAAGGAAAGAATTGAATTGGGAAGCTACTATACCAATCCTACCCTTCAAACTTGACTTTTCAATAAAGTATAGGGAATAGTATAGTAAAGAGAGCAAGTTTAGTGGTAAAGAGATGCATGGAAATTGAGAGAATCAACGTGTTGACTGTTGAACATGTGGAGGTGATACACTCCACCCCTCTATTACTTCAAGGGGTAGTTGGTATATATGAGAAAAATAAAGCATGATACAGACCACCACTTCCATGTGAGCCTTAGATTCAAGTTTGTTTTAAAAAAAAAAATCTAGGAATCAAGTGATACATATATTATTGAGTAATAAAATTTGTATTTTGCATAGACAATTCAATTGGTCACAAAAGTGAAGTTTGAGAACAATGATCTGAAATCGAATCTCACCAGCGACAGTATAAGAGTAATAACCTCTCAGGGTGAACAACAACAAGAATTTCGTTAATGATATATGGTCATGTAAGAGAGTATTGATTATTGAGTAGTTAATTTAAATATAAAATGGTTGTTAATTAATGTCATAATGTGGAAAGAAGAAATTAATAATACAGTAAATGAATAGAGTGGGCGGCAATGAAAGCTCCAACCACTTGTTATATATTTGGAAGTCCACAATAGCAAGCTCACATGAAGAACTAAGAAGGGAATATCCACATTCATTTTATAACTTGTGATCATCAGCTGGTCAACGTTTCACATGCAATATTACATCATTTTCTAAACCATTATATATAAAATAATTATAATCACCATTGAATTTTTAAAATAGAATTTCATTGGTTACTCTTTTTTTTGTTCATTAATAACTAAGAAGACTAAATCCCAGTGACTCAACAACTTTCGAAGTGGAAAAATCCGTGTTTGGTGCTCATAACGAGTCCACCACATACGCTGGATGTAACTCTCAAATTGCAACTTCCAAATCTCCATTTTACATCTTTACCAATAATTTATTACTTAAGTAACAACGGGACATTCGTAAAGACAAGAATTATATATTAATATATCTCTCTCTTATTGGCCTGGGAAGGCAATTGAATAAATGTATGCATGATTGATTATGCCAATTGAAAAGTCCAACAACTTATCAGCCGGCAGAAGTATATACACCACCAAATATTATATGAGCTTCATAATTGACAGACATTGTTACAAATAAAAAAAAAATCTGGCTACTTCAATGATGTCAAGCTGCACTCTTTGTTTGACCAAATTAATTTTTATATATTTGTAGTACGTTGCTCATGTGCTATGCTTTCTTCTCCATGTGGAAGTTGATCGAGTAAATTTAGAATGATGTAAACAAAAGTGAAAACATGAATCATTATTAAGTTTATTTTTCCTAGTTAGAAATCACAATTTTGATTCATATGGCTTTGGAATTTCATCTCATTTCAGTTAATTTTTCTTTTAAAAAAATAATAGTCGACCGTAAGTCATAAATCATGAATGTGTACTTTTCACGTGAAGCACTTAATAATTTTAGTAGAAATTATAATATTGTTTTTATAGAATTTTAAAATTACACATTTTACTTAGTAGTAGTAGTGAAGAAACATACATGTTGTGTACAAAATAACTACAAACATACAGTGTTCTTAACCATAAATAAGAATCCTTTTGTGCTTGCCTTAATGTTAAGTCTCACCAAAACACAAATGCATGAACTTCATATCATATATAATTCTTGGACTTAAATTTCTGGAAACGGAACAACTGCTTCAAAAGCTTCAACTAGCATTGCCACCCTTCTTTTCCTTGCTGGGGTTAATTTACTCACAATATGCTGCACTGCATAATCAAGCATCCATTGTTCAGCCTTCTTCCTCTCATCCATCATCTGGTGTCTTAGATCAACTCTTTCTGCTTCTGTATTAGGCATCAATGGCAGATGTTGTGGTTGTCGCAGCAATTTCAGCTTCCTTGCATTTTCCATGGCCATGATTGATCTCTTTAGAAGGAGCAGATTTTTCAGCTTGCTCCACTTCTTCGATTTTGGCACTTCACCCTTGCCTTTAGCTTCAGAAACTTCTCTGCTTTCATCATTTGCAATCACATTATCAGCTGTCTCTTTCCTGTTCAATTGATCTGACTTTGTATCAACAGAATCAGTATCTTGAGACTGTGTTACGAGGATCTCGTTAACTGCCTCTCTAACGAGTTTGATGGCGTCGTCTCTGTTAAAATTTCTCCTGTAACCAAGATCATCGTCACGAGAGCCAGGGGGTTTTGTTTCTTCAGCTCCATCAAGAAGCTCACTTCCAATTTTTGATGCAATACCTGACAGCACATGCTGAGATACCATGTGCCACATACTGATGTAATTTTCTCTGCCTGTTCCATCTTTAGGGTATCCTCCTCCATGGAATTCATCAGTTTGTTGCTCAGAAGATTGAGTATTATCATTGGCCTTACTGATTGTTTCATTTTTTTCTGAAACAAAGCTATCATCTTTAGCATTGGATTTGAGATTGGGAAATGAGAATTGAAAATGCTGATCTTCCTGAGGAGGCACCATTGTTTCGAATGCCTTTACAAGCATTTCCACTTTTCTTTTCTGGGTTGGGGCGAGTTGGCTTATTGCTTGCTGAAGTGCATAATCAAGCATCCATTCTTCTCCTCGTTTCCTCTCCTCCACGATTTGTTGTCTCAAATGAACATTTTCTGGTTCAGGATCAGTCTCCAGCTGCAAATTCCTTGGCTTCCTTGGGTTTATCTTTATCTTCCTCACTTTTTCCATTTCCTTGATGAATCGTTGCAGCAGAATCCATTTCTTCAGATTGCTCCAGTGTTTTGGTGCTTTCCTCTCAGATTCATTTGCAACCTCTCTTGTTGTCTTCTCTATATTTTGACCATCATGATTCTTTTCTAAGGGTGTTTGGTCTGGTGCAGTGTCACTTGTAATTGATAGATCATCAGATGATTGGTCAGGAACCTCTGGGAGAAGAATCTTCTCTATCGCTTCTCGAACGAGCTTAACAGCAAGAAGCTTCATATCCTGATCTGCAGCACTACTTAATCCAGAACTTTCTGGTGCAGATAATTTGCTGGAATCATCATCAGCAAGATTTTCGTCGTAAGCTTCATGGTTCGTTTTGTTCTTGGATTCTGCAACAAGGCCTGAATGCAAATTCCTACGTATAAGGTGCCACATTCTCATATTCTTCTCTTTCTCAGCAGAAGCTTTGGAGTCAGAATCCACATTGCTGTCTTCTGTGACAGAAAGGGCTGTATTCGAGTTCCTTTTTATGCTTTTCTTTGATTTCAATGATTTTCTTCTCATATAAAAGCGCTTTGGAGGGTTCGACGAATCATGAGAATGGCCATGGAGAGAACAATGATGGTATGAGCAAACTTTATACATGTCTAGTCTATCTGATTCAGTTTGCCGAGTTTTCAGTCCAGGATTTTCAGTGAACTTTGAGTTCTTAATGGTGGAAGAACAAGTAGGTTTACCCACAGTTTTGACCTTAGGAACTTGAGAACACCTAAAAGAAGGCCTCTTCTTGGACTTGAAACTAGCCCTCATAGTCCTCAAACTAGTTGTCCTCATTAAAGTTTGCAAAGATTTTTGACCAGATAATCCTAAATTTTCCTGAGAATGAACACTATTGTGACTTGCCTGGGAAATGCCCTTTTTGCCTTGGTTCTTGATGTGAGGTGTGGATGATTCTGGTGGGGTTGCTCCTTCATCAGACAAAGGATTAGTTGGTTTCATGATCTTTGATCTTCCTTTTCTCCTGAATGATCTTGTGCTTCTGAAATTCTTCAAGTTGTTAATTTTGCCCTCCTGCTTCAATGATCTTGAAGATGAAGAATCAGCAGGAATCACTTCCTTCCCTTGAATCTTTCCCTGGTAATGAAACACAGATTTGAAGAAAACCAGGAAAAAGGTTTTTGCTTTAGGACTTGGTCTTACCTTGTTGCCTATCTTGTTGTATTTATTTATTCATTTATATTTTCCATGATGATGACATCTTGGAATCAGTCCATTACTCTAATCTTAACCAGTTCTTCACAACATTCAGAAGCAAAACAAATTAAAGGACATTCTAACATAGTAAAATTCACCTGAGAAGTGTCTGTCATTTGAACTGCACTTTGTTTCTCTGGGATTAAGCTACCACCGGAGCTAGATGGATCCAAATCAACACAGAAAAATCGAGATTTCGATAGCAAATTCTTCGACTTTGAAGATGATGGAGCAACAGATAGAGTGTTGGCAACCTGCAGATCACTGATCTTTGCTGCTTTTCTTCTTGACCTCTTCTGTCTCTGAAAGGTTTGATTCAGGTGTCATTCCCACCTCCTGCAATAAATGGAAAATCCTATTATTCTGTAATATTCTAATTTCCCTAAATTATATCGGATGGAAATCATCCTTTTTCTTTTTTAAAAAATGGAATTATAATATAGGGATGGTAATTCTATCTCATTTTGTAAATATTATATATTTTTCTAAAAAACGAAATCTCTTGTTTCGGGATCCACACCGTGACCCGATAAGATTTGTGGAAGTGGTAATTACTCCGTATTATATTTCTTTATTACTTTATTGCTGTCAAGTATGGATTCGAAAGGTTGGGATTGGAGTGATTGACTTTTCTGGGACAAAGATAGGTGTGTCTTGACCTTGGCTTTGCTGGCATCTTCAAATATAACATGTCAAGGCAAATAAAGTAAAAAATAAAAATAAATGTAATCATATTAAAAAGGTCATAACCTAGATTTTGCCCCCAACTTAGGGCAAATTATATTATGCACCGCAGTGCATAATCGATTATGCACCGCGCGTCTTTTGTTTAAAATGAAAATTAATAGTGTTTATTTTCGCCGTTTCGTACACTTTTGCAAAAAGTAACTCTGTTATTCAGTGTCATTTTGTATACACTGCAGTTTCAGTTCAACACAACTACAGTTTCATTTCGATATAACTATAGTTTCATTCGATATTTATAGACTCAAATATGTGAAAATGTTATTTAATTTTATTTTATATACACTATAGTTTTATTAAAACACAACTACATGATCATTTTGATATAATTACAGCTTCATTGTACAATATACACTCAAATATGTGAAATGTTATTCAGTTTCAGTTTATATACACTGCAGTTTCATTTCACTATAACTACAGTATCATTTTGATATACTGTAGTGTCAGTTGGTGTTTAATACACCAAACAAACGGACTCCGTTAACTCTAACGGCGGACAGTTTCTTTACTTAAAGAAACGGCGCCGTATATGGGCCGCGGTGCATAATCGATTATGCACCGCGGTCTATAATATAACAACTGCCCAACTTAGTACCCCTCAAATTTATTGATAAATTACGAATGTGTCTCAAGTGATCAAGGTTCGAAACTTGTTCACTGTGCACAATAAAATCTATTATATACTAATTACAAGCCCAATCACTTAAAGAGTGAAGGATGAGATAAATGTAATATTACACTATGCATTTTGTTGTATCAACTCTTATGTTTTAACAAACATAAAATGATAAATTTTATTTTTTAAATAGTTGGCACCATGTTCAAATTAATATCATCTTTTAAAATATTTTAATATTCCATATAACACTGCTTAAAAAACATAATTGTAATTAGAAATTTAGAATACACTCCCCCTCCATTTTGAACCAAAAATAAATTAGAATACAAAATGTTATATAAGTAAAATAAAATATTTATTTTATAAAAGTTCTACAATGTCATATTTCCAATATGAAAAGTGTAATATATTTATAACTATATAAGTTGTCAAGTGGTTGAGCATGTACTATTCCCTATTTTCGTACGACAATTTCATGCCTTTATTTTAGCAATTCCTTTCATTTCATTACTGTGGTTTCATAGTTTTTTTTTTTTTTTTTTTTTTTTTTGCTTTAATATTATAAAATTATTTGATTTTAATTATAAAAAATATTGATTGCTTAATATTTATTAATGCAGTATATCATTCAGGATATTTTGCCAAGTACCATGTAGTGTGATGGTATTCCAATTACCATTCCAAATAGATGGTCATAATTTCAAAACCCGGATTATAAGGATTAAAAAAGAATCACGAGTATTTAAAAAGAAATTCAAGACATCTTTAGTAATGTTATTTTTTTAGTTTGACGTGTGGAAATTCACAAATAACAAATGATAATATTTTATTCTAAGATGACATTATTATTATTATTAATTAATTAATTCGGGTACAACAAATTATTAGGTTGACATTTCTTGAACGTGGTGGTTTGTGGGCAACATGTTACATGCTATTCCTAAATAATATTCACAGCCAGATAAAACAGCCCTAGTTTTTAGAAATTAATTAGTGCATCCTTTTAAGGAAATCCGGCCGCCCATATCGCTAGCTGGTTCATATTTTATACTTATCATGCTTAAAAAATTATCTTCATTACTATATTAGAATATAATAATAATAAATTCTCTCTTTCTATTAATTTGTCAATATAACTTTCTAAAAAAATTTACAATTCATTCATTATTAACAAAAATATATCATTTAGTCAATATATTAAAAACTCTCCTAAATATGGTTTGTATGCTTTTCTTTTCGAAACAAAGGGAGTATTCCCAACATTAATTAATTTTTAATATAAAGATGGTAATTTTTCTTACCTTTTGATAATTAATCTTAAGAAAAATGTTCAAATTGGCCATTAAACTGAACAAAAAAATGTAATTAGGCTATTAAAAAAAAAATATAATTGAATCCCTCAACTATCCAAATATGTTTAAGAGCAAATACCAATTTTGGTCCCACGAGTATTAATAAAATGACAATTTTTGTTCACATGTTTAATTCCTACCAATTTTCATCCACAACTATTGTTTTACTACCAATTTTTATCCACGACTATTGTTTTAGTGCCAAAATTCATCATGCCGGTCACCCCTTCGTTTAATACATGCCGAAATATGAAATTATGAAGGATATTTTCGTCCTTTTCAAATTAAGATCCCTATTTGAGCATGAATAAAGAAATTTAAGCCCTAAGATCGATCCAAATTCACAGTTCTCCTCATTAAGTTAAGGTAGGATGAGGAGGAGAATTGCGAATTGAGATCGATCTTAGGACTTAAATCTCTTTATTCATGCTCAATTTGGGATCTTAAGTTGAAAAGGACGAATATATCCTTAATAATTTTAGATTTCGGCATGTCTTAAACGGATGGATGACCGGTGTGATAAATTTTGGCACTAAAACAATAGTTGTGGATGAAAATTGGTACTAAAATAATAGTCAAATTGGTATGAATTAAACATGTGGACCAAAATTGTCATTTTGTTAATACTCGTGGGACCAAAATTGGTATTTACTCTATGTTTAATTATACCAAATAGCATGTTAATCCCTTCTTCAACATGTTACGATGTCATGTGGCACCTATGTGATATTAAATTAAATATATTTTTAAATTAAACATTATTACTTTTATTATTAGTATCCCCAAATTACAAGCATGTTTTCCCCAAAATTTCTCATTTTCTGTTTGCAATGACAAATCTGTGATTCATTTTCTGTCGGCTACATACAATGCAACTTGCGAACCTTAGAACCTTGTGAGCGAGGAGCAATCAATATTTTTTTTTTTTTTTTTTTGTTTAACATCGGCATTTATGTACGAAATTAATTAGTCATTCTGAACTATGTAATGACAATGAACTTGTTTTTTGGACATTGTTTATAATCTGTTTTGTGTATTATTGTTCACATGCAGGTTCGTTGCTTATTTGCTGTTTCATGTATTAGTATTATGCTTCACAGGTTCTTGAGATTTTGGAGAAAATATACCTGTAGTTTGAGATTTGAAGAATGAAGATGGTCGTAAATATTGCAAAAATTGCAACCGATTAAATTCAGTCGTAAATATTGTAAAGAAATGTAATTAATTTGTTATGGGAAACTCATTCTGAACATTGTAACTGATTGAAATCCGTTACTATATTTGCAACGGAGTAGGTACGAAAAAATTATTGCAACGGAATTTAATTTGTTACAAAATGTGCAACGTGCGTTTTATCAATGGAATGCCCAGAATTATTTCTGTTGTAACTAAGATTTTTTCTAGTAGTGTTATAAATAGTGAAAGTAAGAAAAATATCCGATTTACACCATGGTTACCCGCCGTGCATGGATTCATGGCTTTATTTACCTCGTGTAATAATTAAGAAATAAGTATAAACAAAACAATATTAATTCTTAAACCAGTGTATCAACTTCTCTTATGAGTGACTCACTTGGACTCGGAGCACATGAATTTGTCATCACCTACACATGCATTTCACGACTTTATCAAGATTTATTGAAATGAAAACAACAATTAATCAATCAGAATTAAGGAAACATGAATCTATATCGTCACCTGCACATGCATTGCACGAGTTTATCAAAGTGTAGAGTTGTTTAGAGTCGCCCCCAATATGGACTCTAGGAGGGTTTGTAAGCATGAAAATAAACACATACATTTATGCAATATTGTATATGTAATAAATAGGAACTAACCTCCAGCTATAGTTGTCCTTTAGTAAAATGTCTTGTACGTAGTTGCTGTAGTTTGCCTTGATTGTTGCTGTAGTTATTTTTGGCGGAGTGTCTCCCACTTTTTCTCTGGTTCAATAGAGATGGTGTATGTATTGTCAAAAGAAAACTATCAATATAGGCTTTGTAACGGTTACCGTTATAACCGTTACAATACTTAATGGAACCACTTAATGGGCCATTTAAGGGCACTCATAACTTGCACCATTATTACATTTTCTAAATAGAAAATGTTACATTTTCTCACTTAATTGGTGCAAGTACAAACTCAAAGAAACAAAAAACATGAATTATATATAGAGATAGGTCCTCTTAATACGAGTAATGTCTACTATAATCACAATGCAACTTGTTTTCTAAGTACTTTATGTTGTAACCAAAATCTTAATGAATAAACCTTATCTTTATTGCTGGTCCAAAAGATATATATTTTCTCAACGATAAATTATGTGCACAATACAATATAATAATGGACATATGATTAAGTCTTTTAAAAATAATAATAATAATAATAATAGACATATGATTACTTAAATCTCTATAACGTTAGTTTAGACTTTCTACACTTGGGGTAAGACTTTCTACACATGGTTGACAATTCAAAAAAAAAAAAATAAATAAACACATACGATTGTGTGCTATCCAGATAGTAACTAAGTTGCATCAATAATATAAGAACATATGCAATATCTTTACTAGTTAATTAACGTGCGTTTTTTTTTT